CTCATGACTTTTTTAAGAAAATGCAAATGAATTATCTTTTACTATATAAATTAATTGTAATTTTCACATCTTAATATATAAAATTCCGGAATCACGATGTTGGTCCCTGATGAACTCCGAAAAAACTTAATCGATCTTAATGAAATTTTGCACACTGTATGACTGTATGTAATTTGGTTCTATTTGAAAGACAGTATAGTTTTTTATCGCGATAGGTAGCGTAGTTGTAGAGATTTAATATTCAATTTTTATTTTTTTTTGAATTGTTATTTTTTCGTAGTTTTCATTATATGAATTCATATGATAAGGTGCCAGAATCAGAATACAAAATAAGACGGTGAACATAATGCGACCAACGTCAGAATCGAATGCGGGACCAGTAGCAAAATTAAGAACGGGACTGGAGTCGAAAACGAGTGTTGGGATGGGACCAGTGGCATTGAGATTGATATCGATCTATACAAAGTTTGAAAAAATTATTCCATGTTCATATCGTTGGAGCTGCAAACATTAACTAGATGAGAAAGCTACCCACGAGAAAGGGCAGAACAACGTCGGTCAGGGCAGCTAGTCTATACATATAAGGAAAATAGTTTTTTGGCAGATTATCACTTAAAAAATACTAAACGTATTGATATGGGATTTCGACCATTCGACGTGGAATTGTATGTATATGGTTATAGGCTGTTTCTAATATGAAAATGCAAAAGTATGTATGGATATTTTAAATACGCTTAAGGCTGGACGGATTGTAATGAAATATCTCATAGAGGTAGATTATGTTCTTAATTAGGAAATAAAGTTAATATAATATGATTGTACTATAAACAAGATTATCTTTTATGTAAAAGAAATTACCATTGCCAGTATAAATGGTAATTTGTTATCACAAACATTTGTGGCCAAGGAAGGACCAAGCTTGGCTTAAATTCTTCTATTGCTTTAGCGGGATGAGACCTCATAATTCAATTAGAATTGACATCGATAACAGGACTGTGGTCGAGATCAGAATTGAAGGAGGGAACAGCTAATATTAAAAATGAATAGATTGTCTCTATGCACATGCGAGCGAAACCAAGGCCGTATTTGAATCATCAAATAAAACAATTATTGATGAATGCCAATTTACACCAAACGAAGCGGGCGGATAGCGGCTAATGTGTTGTATAAATTAAACATTCAGGTTTTTCTATCTTAAAATAGATGTTTTAAACATATTTTATTGATAGTATTGCTACAAGACACAAGAAAACATAGACGATGCCACACACTTCTATATTCTAAACAATATCTTTGGCAAAAATTATTGTTACATGTTCGGATTTTAAAGAATATTATTATGTTAAATTTCAAATTTAAAGGGCTGAAGGTCGTTTTGTAGTGCATCACAACATGCGAAAAAATTCAATGTTCAATATAAAAAAAGAAATAGCTGGTGAGGAATTTGCTTACACAAATCTCATCGCTGAGCTAACGAACCTCGTGCTTTTGCTGTACATAATCAATATAATTATGACATGTTACTTTACTCCCATTGTACCCAATAGTTCAAACAATGCCATACTCGATGACGTCACTAAACATCAACGCCTATGATCAGCGTATATGTAGCGACATAAAAATAAATTTTATAGTGATAAAAAAATATATAAAGTCATAAAATAAATAAATAAAATTATGTACAAACAAACCTTCCTATTTTTTATATATAATGAGATTGCGCCTACGCAGGAAACTGGTCGGCCGCGCCGCTGCACCGCCTACACGGCCGCACGGAGTTCAGGTTTGAGTTTTTTATTCAGTGGATCGCAACGTAAGCCACGAAACGCACACCGCCGACCGTCCGAGCGTTTACCCTTTTGCGTACCCTTTTATAACCCTGAACGTAATTGAAATTCTCGTATCATATTGTCAGTGTCGAATCTAGTTTAGTATTAAATTCTAAGTGTATTATTCTGAGAGTGATGTAATAAACAATTGCCGTGGCAATCGATGGTTTTTGCATCTCTTCCCTCCAACGATAACCCGCCCACTTCAGATACAAAACCGGAGTTGAATCTATCTATACATAAAAATTAATATTTCATTATTTGTACCTTGAGTCATTCGCATGTTGTATACCGTTTGTTCCGGCTTCATTAGCATGTTTGTTAATAAACTAAACTGTTTGTTGAACCAATTCTGAAAATTCTTTCACTAATAGAAAAGTACACTATTCCTGAGTAAAAAAAAATTGGTTGCCTGTAAAGTCGATATACGGGCGAAAGTTTTACGTGACAACGACTTTGAATGGTAAAATCATTTTAATGTGAATATTCATTCGTATAGTAGGAAGAAGGATGAAATAATAGTAACAATTTAAAACATTTATTTATACAAAGAATTATATTTAAAACATTAATTTATACAAAGAATCTCGCACTGAATTTCATATTAACAAAATTTTATTTTTACCTTTACACATACATACGTATTTATATACAAATATACATACAATAACTTGCAATACATTTGCAAGCTATGCACTAATTCTCTAGTGCTGCGCGCGCGGCAGACCGATCATAGTTGAGTGGGAGAGAGACGCAAGGCATTCGGCGGGCCTCTCTCTCGTTCGGTGACTCATCGTAACGTTACCGAGCGTTACACTTTTTCATAAGTGACTCCCAGCCGCAACCTAATTTAAGACGTTGTCACGTCAAAAAAAACATTTTCTCCCGGCTTCATTCCACTAATTTACTACAAAATCAATTCTAAAAATTAAAAATAGGACCGGTGTCAAAATTATGTCGAAATTAACAATTCAAATTAAAAATACCTTTAATGTATAAGATCTTATATTGAAATACGTCATATCATTTTACGAATTTATCCCGCCTTCAATGCTTTTCTTTTAAAACTAAGGCGCGAGAAAACACTTCAAACAGCATCACAGATAAATGATATTCATCTGCGCATCTGATAAAGCGATATATTTTCTTCAAAAATGCATAAAATTCATTATATTCCAATAAATTTTTATTATTTCTCGATGTAGATTCATTGAAATTTAAATACGAGTAGTTTTATTCCATTAAAACAAAAAAATATTCTTATTTTCCTTTAAACTATAATAAGGTCAAGGGACCTTATAAATGTTAAGCGCGGAATATAAAAATATTGATTTGTATTTCATTCGGAACAATAATCGACTTTTCACAGCGTAACAGGGATTTTGTAGTGCCCCAAGCGAACGGGCCTCCCTTACAAGCACATTAAACTTTCAAATTCAATCACTCGCCTCCACGTAAAATGTATGGCCAAGTTGCAGCGATCCTCGTATTCACACTTGGAGACTCCTAGAAAACTCGCATGCCATATGTTTTCAAACCCGGAAATAAATCGAAACCTATAGGGTATTGTTGTAACAAGAACAAAGGTTACAAATAATGTAAAAAAATCGGACAATCGCTAGTTTTTAGTTATAAGATACGAAAAATTTTTTTTTATGATTATAATCTCATACTTGTTATTATAGTAAGGAATGTGATGTACAGCAACATATTTGAGAAGATTTGAACTTTGTTCTAAGCAAATTTAAGGTTTTCGAAAACTTGAATATTTTAACGAAATCAGAAACCTTTTTGAAAAAAGCAACATTTTGGATCTCGGGACCGATATCTCGCCAGAGTCGCAATCAAAACGGACTCTTCGGAAAATCATCGAGACACTTGATGGATGAAATATCTACGTACAAAATTAGGTGCACAAAATACCCTCAGGGTTCAAGTTTTATTCGCAATTGTCCGGTTTTTGACGTGACAACGTCTTATAAATTGGTTTGCCGGGTGACACTTCAAGAAACTGCGTTACGCTCCGCTCACGTTATGCGCTCACAATGAGAGCGAGTGAGAGGCACGCGTCCCTTCCACTCGGGCATGGTTAGCCCGCCTAAGAGCGAGAGAGACAGACATAAAAAGTGAAAGGCACGCGTCCCTTCCACTCGAGCACAGTTAGCCCGCCTAAGAGCGAGAGAGACAGAGCGAGAGAGAAAGAGTGAGAGAGATAGGCATACACACCGGTTCATGTCTTGCGCTTCTATTTCGCTTAAGCGCCTGCATACAAGTTTACACGTTGCCAGTTAATTGTAAAACGATTGTGTAGTGATAATGTGAAGGTAGTTATATTTGTATATAAATACGTATGTATGTGTAAAGGTAAAAATAAAATTTTGTTAATATGAAATTCAGTGCGAGATTCTTTGTATAAATTAATGTTTTAAATATAATTCTTTGTATAAATAAATGTTTTAAATTGTTACTATTATTTCATCCTTCTTCCTACTATACGAATGAATATTCACATTAAAATGATTTTACCACTCAAAGTCGTTGTCACGTAAAACTTTCGCCCGTATACCGACTTTACAGGCAACCAATTTTTTCAGTGATTGGATAATTGCCCCTGGTTCAAGAATACGTTGCTTTGTAGAAATACCGTTCATAGTAGTGCAATATTTTATAGATCCAGTAATGCTTGAATTGATGTTTGATTCAGACACGACACGATCACAGTTTTTAATAGTGTTAGATTTACATTTCAATCATTTCATTGTGTTTATCGAATTTGATATGTCATTTGACAATCATTTGAAGTTTTTCAAGGGTTTTGTGCATATTTCCGGTTTTTTCGTTTTTAAATAATGAGTCATATTTTTTGTGTAAATAACATCAAAGTTATATGGTACACGGAAGACGCGAGGCCAGCTCGCACTTGACTAGATTACGTGACTAATAACTAATCAATTTTTTGTTGGCACTAAATTCCAAGGACTTTTTTTGCGAAGCATTTAATGTAGTGTTTTACAAATAAAACTGTTAACAGCTATACATTATACACTAATAACAGTTAAGCATCTTTCGTTTTTTTTTTACATTACTAAATGTTTAATTTGATAATATGAATATATTAAACGAACAAAGCATAATAGTGAAGAGATTGAGATAAAAAAAAAGTATTAATTTCAGCTCGTGAGGGATTTGAACCCCCGACCACCTCTGTAATAGATTAGAATCAGTTGGGCGCTCTAACCGCTGAGCTAACGAGCTACGTTAGGTTCGACCCGATTACAGGATTGATTCAAACGACGCTACTCGTATCACCGGCGAGCGGCGTCATGGCGTGACGTCACTCCACGACTCGCTAAATAAATACGTGCGCATGCACGTCGTGGTATAAATCATGACAGAATAGATGATAATTTGCCTTTGTAAATCGTTTACACATTTACTTACGGAATATTGAAGGCGGAAGCGGCTCACGGAACGGTGAATAACTAAAACTAAATAAAAAACTATTTTAACTAGGTACTAAATTTACGCCTAGCGCTAAGCGAGTGTTTGACGGCTAGTCTATATGTGAAAATCAACATTTCTTTGTCAGTCCCTTGAGTCATCCGTATGTGATGTGCAGTTAATGCTTCGGATTCATTAGCATGTTTGTATTAATGAATTGAACCGCTAAACCGATTCCGAAAATTCGTTTAGCAATAGTAAACTACTTTATCCCTGAGCACAAAAACATTTTCTTTTGGCTTCATTCGTCTATTTTACTACTAAATCGATTCTAAAAATTTTTCGCCCATTGAAAGCTACACTGTCCACGAGTAATATAATCTACATTTTATCTCGATACTAGTATTGGTCTATGGTTTTTACCCAATCAGAGTGGTGACCGATAACAAGTATGTGTTATTATTGTAACTTTTTGTTCGTATGTTAAAATATCGATATGTTCACATCATTATGTAAAATAAATAAACTATAGCATACATTCGCTTTTTCATAGCATAATAGCTATTTCATAGTCCCCAATGAGAAAGGGCGTCCTTTACATTAAATTTTCAAATTCAATAACTCGCCTCCGCGTAAAATGTATGGCCAGATTGCAGCGATCCTCGTATTCACCCTGAGAAATTCTGCCTAGAAAACTAGTATTGAAAAACGCTCATTACATTATGCAGTTTTCAGAGTGCTAATTGAACTAGCTAGTGTGCTAATTTTTTATTAACTTTTTGTTGCCTAGACACTAGTGCACTAGTTATAGTACTAGATCGATTTATGCAAAGAAATCTAGTATGATTAGCAATAACTAGCTATTCAGTCAGTGTGCGTTAGAGTCAAACGATGTAGGTTTCTTTTTGTTTGAAGAAAACTTGAAATTATATAATTAAAATAAAATCAAAATATTCTAAACATCACAACAGCTTCATATGTTCACAGTTCTTTCGAATTTAAGTTTGAATTAATTTTTTTTTTCAAAATATAGTGGATTATTAAATCCAATTACCCGCAACCTTTTTTATTCGTCATATTAATTACACTGTGTACAGAATTCTAATACATGCCGAACTTTCTGCATTTTGCTGATATTATATTTTCATAGTAAACAAACACAATGAAACATAACGAGTTCTTCCCTGAAAGTAAATAAAACAGTAATAATCAGTTTATAAAAATGCCAGTTGGCAGTTGACAGGCATTTATAATATTTAGTGGTAGGTCTTTTTTGATCAAGAATAAAGTATGCAAAAAAATGTGCAAAAATAATATATGAAAAATTTGTACTTGTCTTTGTCTGTATATAGATTAAACTTGTAGGAATGCGTATCGTTAATTTGTATAAAGCTCTTTATAATTCGCGAGCTCTCCCGAGCTTTACACTTTTAAGGCTCCCGATAATCGCTGCCAGTTAAGACACGCGCTGGCTTGTTACGTATAACCGGATGTCAGCGCGTAGATCCGTTACACTCTTATGGCGAATTATAATATTTAGTCATTAGTATTAAATATTAAAGGCATTCAATTAATATTCTTTAGAATAATAGGTATCGTTCAATTTGTCCAAATTTACAATGAATAGGTCTCATGAATGGATTTTGTAAAGGCGTACTAATAAGTATATATTGTATGTATATTACAGAGACGCAAGGGAAACTAAGCTTTGAGTGGGACTATATTGTGTTATCTTTCGCACGCAGTTTCGACCTCAGAAGCATATTTTACAACAAACTCTTTCGTGTTTTGTGTCGGACACTCTCTGCCAATCATGGTACATATCCCTCTTCTGTTCTCTGTTGACATTCGGTTCCATTAGCAGTTTCGATTTTGTTTCTGATCTGCTCTAGATTCTGATCTCGGCCGCATTCTTGTTTCCAATCCCCATAATTCCCGATTCAAGTTTTGACCTCGTCCTCGATTATTTTGTAGAATATGTTGTTCGTCTTTATATTTATATGCTTTAATACAAAATAATTTTAAGTTTGCACAAGGCTTTGACAAAACACTGACAGATGAATATATGGCCTCTGTGCTTTTTATACAAAGGTTGATCTAATATGCTGTATTCGTACTATTATATGAATACAGCATATTATATATAATAATATATAATACCAGAATATGTAATATATATAATACCAAAGTATATATAACACCAGAATGTATCATACAATTAATTGGATGTACTGTCTCATGATATACTAAGATATATTAAGAAATCCAAAAGACGGATTATCTTTTGTAAATGCTCTATTTTGTCAGTTGGGAGTATATAGCAACTTGATAACAAGATAGATGAATTAGATGTCAAGAAAATTGAAACATAGATGCCTGCAGTGAAGTGTAACACAAAGCCTTGTTTATGGCATCATATTAACGCAGTGAAAATAGTGTTGTCATAAAAAAATAATGAAGTTTCTCAGAAATCATAAACATCGAGTACAACGAGCCGTTTAGCGAGCGAAACACGTCAAATATGAGGTTAAGAGCGTATGGAATTACGCTGCTAGCAGTAAAAGAGAATTTTTTAATTCGCTTACGAAATACGATAGAAGTCCGAATATACTTTTAAACGTAATTGAAGTCGTTTAGGTTGAAGAACATAACATTTCATGGATAATGCGAGTGCTAAATAATTACCTCGTTAGTCGTTTTAATATTTTAAATTAATTTTTCCTTCAACATGAGAATTCATCGATGAAACCGTCATAAGTTAAACATTTCACGTTATTGTTTTTCCTCGTTATGTACACGTTTCGAACGTACCAGCTCTTTACGTGGGAAATAAATTCTAAAAACTTTGACATGATGATATAATCCACCTAAAAGTGCATTCGCTTTGGAGACAAATGACATTATAAACATGCATATGTGCGGATTAAATGCATGTATATTAGGCGAATAAAAAAAGTTGTCTCTCACACAGGATTTAAAGCTTCGTTAAGTATACAATGTTACAATAGTGATCTTAATACGTGAGGCGCACTATATGTTTTTGGAACTGGCCACATACATACACAATATTTAAAAGGTTTTTACTACATTGAAATATAACTCTGTGGTTGCAAAATATAGTTTATTTCATGTAAATAACAATTGTTTTTACACTGGCATCATTCAAAAAATTGCGTATCTTTATTATTATGGATTTAAGTCGTGTAAATTTTCGGAGTGATTTTCTATGATTTTAAGTGTTATTGACAGCTCAATAGAACCTCGCTCGGCTTCGAACTGCTTTTAGCGAAGAAGCGCCATGCAAGATGACTATTTACGACTGGTTGCGGAATTCAAGCGCGGTCGTGTCAATCCCAGTGACGAATTTCGTGACGGTCGCTCGTCTACCGCCGTGAACAACAAAAACATCGATGCTGTGCGTGTGTGATCGAAACAGACAGGCATGTGATCTACCATGCGATTCGGGCATTTTTAGGCATAGACATTAATCAAATACTATCAATATTGGTGGTGGGATATCACACAATGTGATTGAGGATCAAAAAACGAGCCACATCACTTGGCCATGCTTACCAGATTCAAAGAAGGGGTGTCAAATTTGGTGTGGGACGTAATAAAAATAACCGTAAACGTCGTATCATCGTACACCATCACAATGCCAGTTCTCACATGGTCAAGCAGACAAATAAATTTTGAAGGTGAAAAACGTAGATCTAATGAAAAATCCTGCACACAACCCCAACCTAGCACATTGTGACTTTTTTTTTGTTCTCAAAAATGAAGAACCAATTACGCGGTCAACGATTTTTATCATCAGAAAAGAATGTCGAAGAGTATGAAGAACATGGTTAGAGGTCACCAGGGAGGCGTGGTATGAATGTTTTTAAAATGGGTTTATTTGTATGAAAACATGCTTTTATGGTAACTGAGATTGTTTTAAAAAACAATAATTTTTAACCATCCATAGTAATTTTTTCTCATTCGTTTTTCACACATATCTAGCTAGTCTGCATCGCATTTTTTGATTATCAGCAATAAATGTATAGAAGGAGTAAATCGACAATGGATGAAACATATCTGAAATCGTGTTTCATCCCTTGCCACAGGCTATATTTTTCATATAAACTATTTTGCAACCGCAAGTTTAGTATTCATTTCACTCGTGAAGATATATCTGTCAGATTAACTAACGGTTAGAACGACATTTATGTACGTTTGAAATATACAGAAGGTACTGTGATAGGGTTGAAAACAGAAAAGATATTATTGCACTTCAATACCTTTATTAAGCCCTTACTTAAAGGGCTTCCTGCCCGAGGGAAGAAAACAGGTGTTCATTCCGCTTACAGTTGCATTAGGGGGCCATCCGTAAATTACGTCACATAAATTATAAGGTTTTGACCAACCCCCATCCCTCCGACCTTGTCACACGTAAATTAAAACAGCAATTTTTACAATTTTTTTTTGTTCAAAATACTTTAAATATTGGAAAAATTAAAAGACATAAATATTTTCATATCATAGAGTCATATGAAAAAATACTTCTGCTTTTTGTTATCCTTTTAACTAGCTATTGATTGATACATCATGTAATAATCTTCAGATATCTTTATGTATACACTTGCATGCTATACAAAAAATAATTTGACTATTTTTTTGATGAACTCACTTGTTTAAAGACTTTATGGTCGACTTGAATTCACCATGACCGAATTTTTAGTATTATTTTACATAAATCATTAATTTTTAGAGAAAATATTGAAACGGATATGGATTTTTTTTTAATTTAAAGCAAATAATGACGTAGCTGAACG